TTTGTCTAAACTAATCGTGAAAATTTGTTTTTTTTAATTGCTCACTGGAAAATGTCATGATGCCATTTGTGGCCGGACCCCAATAAATGAATATTTTCAAAAATCAAAAAATAAAACAACAACAACAACAACAACAACAACAATAATAATAATAATAATAATAATTGTTATAATAAAAATTAATATAATTTTTCAATCTTGATGTTTGAAATGGTCAAAATCTCAATGAAGGTTTAAAATGATGTTAATGGTTATAAAAGCGCTACTTCATGTCAAAAATATTAGAATGGGATTCCAAAATAAATAAAAGTTAAAAGTGACCCACAATTCGAATAATAAAAACTTGGCGAACAGGTAGGTTATAGCAGTTTCGGTGTTCAGTCTGTTTGCATTTATCTTGGAAGTTCAGAAACGTTTTGGTATTCAGAAGAAGTAGTAATCACTCACAATAACATAGAATGCGTTGATTGGTAACTTTTATTTATAATCGTTTTGAGATAAGGATATTCTGCTTATTTCTAGGAGGTTTAATCATTCCTCCGAATAAAACCAACATAAGTTCTGGAAAACAATTCCTTTTAAAAATAATTTCCCTGGATAAGAGAATGTATATCTTTAATAAGATTTTCTGCGTCGAGGCCGGTAGGAATTAATTCAAGTGAAATAAAGTATGTCTACTGAATCATGTATCAAAAAGAATTACATTATAAGTACATATTTTATAAATACACACACATTGTACACACACAGTACACATTCAACATTAAACACAAAACACACATATATATATATTTTAAGGTCATACTATATTTTGGGATAAAGTGTTCAATATCAAAACATAGAGCTTAGTTTTTAATAAATATTTAAAATTTTTTGAAGTCAACCGAGAGAGTCTCAGTGTATCATTAATTTTTAAGAATCGGTTACCAACTAAGAAATGGTTAACCATTATCATGCTTAACTTAACTGCAAAAATTTTTCATTGCAACTTTATCAGCTGATTTCACTTAAACCAATTAATTTGAAATCATTAGCTGAAACCCAAGACTTAAAAGCCTAAAATTCATTTATTCTTTCTTTCTTTCTTTCTTTCTTTCTTTCTTTCTTTCTTTCACTGAAACCAAGTAGTAACTTTCCTCCTCTTTCCACACGATCAAAACGGAAGAGTTCATTATTTATGCGGTATTTTATACGTAGCGGTTATTCCAACTAACGGAGAGAGAGAGACAAGCATAATTATAATAAGATTATTAGATTGATTGATCTAGTTTCTCTATCTACTCTCCACACTTACATATACGTCTTCTAAATTCCCCTGTTCATTTTATATTTTTTCTTTATTTTTCTTGTTACGCATATTACATACCAAAAGAAGATACTTTTACGTACACAAAAAATAATAAAAAGCTAAACAAAAATATCTTGACAGTCATGTTCAATGAATCGTGTCTTAAAAAAGAATTGTTGCCCAAATACATAACTATTCTGCATGACGGTGAATACTGTAATAATCACACCAAAGATGGAGAAAAGACATATTTAAAAATATGTATGGTCCTATAGAAGAAATCTTTTCTTTTTGACTGAACACGTGAGCAACGAATGGTTTTTTTTTTTTTTTTTTTTTTAGAGAAAATCGAAGCAAAAAAAGGAACTTATACGTAGCATCAAGAAATACACAGTTGAAATTTCTAGGAAGATAATGAATTTGTAGGCTTGGAAACTTCCAAAACTCACAGGACACATTGAAAAAAGAAGGACAGAGAAAGCAGCGCATAAAAGATATTGTTTTTTAGCAGTGATCAAAATGAAGAGTCTCTTCATAAAAATTATATATATATATATATATTTATATATATATATATATATATATATATATATATATATATATATATATATATTTTATTTTTAAAAACAGTGCTCCAATGTGTCAAGTTTACCTTTAAATTATAATTATTTAAAAAAAAATAATTATTTGCAAAGGAATCATATTTAAAAAAAAATTATATATAAAATATATATATATATATATATATATATATATATATATATATATATATATATATATATATATATATATATATATATATATATATATATATATATATATATATGTGTGTGTGTGTGTGTGTGTGTGTGTGTGTGTGTGTTTTTTTCTCCAATATATTGGGAGAACAGTTTTGACAATTTATTTCATAAATGCCTAAGGATAAAATATTATTGCTATTAGTGTTTGAAGATCTTAATATATCCATAATGGTTTTGGAAGTGTTTGTGACTATTCTAAGATTATTTAGATGGAATAGGTTATTCTGGATACTGGACGTGAAAATAGTTGGTCAGTAAAGATTATGCATCTGTTTTCATGTAATTTATTATTGTGGATTATATTATTAGTTTTGTTTCAGTTGTATATTTTGTATGATTTCTTCTTGCGTTATGGATGAAATGATATGGGTATTGTAGATTTTTGAATGTGTTTTCTATGTATGTTTCTCTAGGTAAATATTGGGCACTGCAGATACTTAATGCTCTCAGAAACTTATAATAATTATCTCATATAAATAATCTTAAAATAGTCACTTACACTTCCAAAACCATTATGGATATACTCGGATCCTTAATCACTAACAGCAATAATATTTCTGAAGCAGGCATTTATAAAATAAATTTTATATATATATATATATATATATATATATATATATATATATATATATATATATGTGTGTGTGTGTGTGTGTGTATATATATATATATATATATATATATATATATATATAATTTTAAAGTGAATGCCTACTCACATATAAAATAGCTGTTATAATAAATTTCTAAAGAGAACTCACGAAATTCTTCCTCTTGCCTATGCAACCTCAAAAAAATTTAACAAGGCAAAACAGACACTAGTTAACAATGGATTTCCTAACTACCTCATCGACCACCAGATTAGACTATTTCTTCTCAAATTAATTAATAACGACACTGAACACACAGACAAAACCAATTATATTTACATCTTCTATAAAAAGCCATATACAAACTACAAGCAGGTTGAATATTCAGATAGAAATACAGTAATATAACCGGATGTAAGAGACCCGGATATAAGAGAAACCCGGATATAAGAGATTTTCTCTGGTACCAAATTAAAATTCTGTGTTAATGTATATAAAATAGACCAAACCCGGATATAAGAGAAACCCGGATATAAGAGAGATTTTCTCTGGTCCCAAATTAGAGCCTGTGTTAATGTATATAAAATAGACCAAAACCCGGATATAAGAGAAACCCGGATATAAGAGATTTTTTAATGGTCCCAAATTAGAGCCTGTGTTAATGTATATAAAATAGACCAAAAATTTTTTATAAGAGAAACCCGGATATAAGAGAGATTTTCTCTGGTCCCAAATTAGAGCCTGTATTAATGTATATAAAATAGACCAAACCCAGATATAAGAGAAACCCGGATATAAGAGATTTTCTCTGGTCCCAAATTAGAGCCTGTGTTAATGTATATAAAATAGACCAAACCCGGATATAAGAGAAAACCCGGATATAAGAGATTTTCTCTGGTCCCAAATTAGAGCCTGTGTTAATGTAAACAAAATAGACCAAACCCGGATATAAGAGAAACCCGGATATAAGAGATTTTCTCTGGTCCCAAATTAGAGCCTGTGTTAATGTAAACAAAATAGACCAAACCCGGATATAAGAGAAACCCGGATATAAGAGATTTTCTCTGGTCCCAAATTAGAGCCGGTGTTAATGTATATAAAATAGACCAAACCCGGATATAAAAAAATGATGAGGATATAAGAGAGATTTTCTCTGGTCCCAAATTAGAACCTGTGTTAATGTATATAAAATAGACCAAACCCGGATATAAGAGAAACCCGGATATAAGAGAGATTTTCTCTGGTACCAAATTAGAGCCTGTGTTAATGTATATAAAATAGACCAAACCCGGATATAAGAGAAACCCGGATATAAGAGAGATTTTCTCTGGTCCCAAATTAGAGCCCGTGTTACCTAAACAAAATAGACCAAACCCGGATAAAAGAGAAACCCGGATATAAGAGACTTCTTCTCCGGTCCCGACAACTCTCTTATATCCGGGTTACACTGTATCATAAAGTAATACACAACCCCAGCCAACCTAAACAAGAAAATTAAATTATCTATTATGCTTAAAATCTTTTTTGTTTTTTGTGTTTTTTTCAGAAAGAGAGATAGATAGATAGATAGATAGATAGATAGATAGATAGATAGATAGAGAGAGAGAGAGAGAGACAGAGAGAGAGAGACGGGAAGAGAGACGGGGAGAGAGAGAGAGAGAGAGAGGATTGAAACTATTCATAACCATCTAATCTGTATATGTTGGTACGCAAGTGTGCGTTTTTCCATACATAAAAAAACCAGTAACACACCTGCAAAATCAAAACTACAAGAACCAACATTATTTACGAGTTCAAATATCCCTTAAGGAACTGTGTTTCTGATCAAACCAAATTTAATAATAATTTCGTCGGTCCGCACTACTACATGCCTATCTAGATGACTTACGAACTCCGTTAGAACTCATTTAAACACGCACAAAAACCTACCAGACTCCATCTAAAACATACCAGTAGAGAATACAAGTATAATAGCTTCATGTGAATGAAGCTATTATATAAAAAATTTAATTTTATGATAAAAAGGAAAAGCCAACACTCAATAACATTAACTATGAACACGGTCATAATGTACCTTGACCGTTTTGGATACTAAAACATCCCATACATACAGTTAAAAAGTAAAATAAAATCATCATGATAATGATGAAACTATAGTCGAAAACGCTCGGAAATGCAGAATTTTTTAACAGTTTTTACACACATTGTGTCTAGAAAAGAAAACACATTTACGAACACAAGAAAATATTGTCAGTCGTTTTTAATGAACCGTATGAAAGAGAGATTGCTGTCGAAATACGCAATATGACCGTTTCAAAATTTATGTATCAATTTTTTGTTTGTATCAACCTATTCATATATATCTATATATATCTATATCTATCTATCTATCTATCTATCTATCTATCTATCTATCTATCTATCTATATATATATATATATATATATATATATATATATATTTCAGTTCATATCTATCTATCTATCAATCTATGCCTGCTTTCTCTATCAGTTTGTTCATCGTGTGTTTGAATCTCCCTCTCTCTCTCTCTCTCTCTCTCTCTCTCTCTCTCTATCTATCTATCTATCTATCTATCTCAGTCTGTTCGTATCCATCTCAGTCTGTTCGTATCTATCTATCTATCTATCTATCTATCTATCTATCTATCTATGCCTGCTCTATTAGTTTGTTCATTGCTCTATTTTTGTTCATTCGTCACACACTATTTTTCTTTGATTATATATCTTAGTGTGTTTGAAGCTGTCTGTCACTCTCTCACTATGTATCTATCTATGCCTGATCATTTCTTTCTCTATCAGTTTTTTCATCTCTCTACTTTTGTTCATTCATTCTCTCTCTCTCTCTCTGATTATCTTAGTGTGTTTGAATATCTATCTATCTATCTATCTATCTATCTATCTATCTATCTATCTATCTGCTTGTTTGGCTCCGTCTCTTCATTATCTATCTATCTATCTATCTATCTATCTATCTATCTATCTATCTATCTATCTATCTGCTTGTTTGGCTCCGTCTCTTCATTATCTATCTATCTATCTATCTATCTATCTATCTATCTATCTATCTATCTATCTATCTATCTATCTGCTTGTTTGGCTCCGTCTCTTCATTATCTATCTATCTATCTATCTATCTATCTATCTATCTATCTATCTATCTATCTATCTATCTATCCCAGTCTGTTCAGAACAACAATCTGTCTCAATTTGTCCATGCCTGTCTTCACTTTTTTTTTTAGCCTCGTTTTCGATTTGTTCCTTACGTTATGTGATTCTAAATGACAGGGTCTCAGTGTTTACCGTTTTCTTTTCTTCTAACAGAGCTACTGATAAAGAATCACTTCAATTAATGGTCGTACCTACAACTCATCTTATTCTGTATGTCTTTGAACGAAATAAGATTTCGTTCTGTTAACGGGTTCTCGGCGGTGTGGGTAAATGGAGAATCATTCCCCAACATCACCAACATCAATACCGCCTTGAAAAAGAAAAAAAATCTTAACGAAGAATGGCGGGTGGGTTCAGATGCCCCTGGGGTTCTGTTTAGGAGCGGGATCTGTTGTGAGTTTAACGACGATCGTGATGAAGGGTTGGGAGATGTCGATGGTTGTGTGTGAATGGGTGGTAAGGTAGCGTAAGGTAGTGGGGATGTACAATATTGCCGATTCTGGCGCCTATATTGGCACCCGGAAACTCTTGCGAAGAATTTACAGATATGTCTATGAAAAATGTTTTCTGTTTTTGGGAGAGAGAGCGAGAGAGAGAGAGAGCGAGAGAGAGAGAGCGAGAGAGAGAGAGAGAGAGAGAGAGAGAGAGAGAGAATGGAAACTATTCAAAACCATGTAATCTGTATATGTTGGTACACAAAAGTGCGTTTTTCCATACATAGAAAAAGATAGAGAACTCAGTTATGTCCAACAAATTGATAGAGAGCTTTCTTGATTATTAATAGATTGGTTAATATTAGTTAAATATTGGCAAGTTAATCTATCTATCTATCTATCTATCTATCTATCTATCTATCTATCTATCTATCAGTCTGTTCATATTTTTCTCTATCTTAGTCTCTATCTACTTTAGTCTATATATATATATATATATATATATATATATATATATATATATATATACTCTGTCCATTCTAACTCTCTTTTGTTTATATATCAGTCTATTCAAAATCTATCTATCTATCTATCTATCTATCTATCTATCTATCTCTGTTTCATATTTTTCTCTATCTTAGTCTCTATCTACTTAGTCTATATATATATATATATATATATATATATATATATATATATATATATATATCTTACTCTGTCCATTCTAACTCTCTTTTGTTTTATATATCAGTCTATTCAAATCTATCTATCTATCTATCTATCTATCTATCTATCTATCTATCTATCTATCTAAGCCATAATTTATATCATTGTATTAAGCATACATATTAATAGTGGCAGGGAAAAGGAAAATTGTTTTATATTTGGCATGTATTTAAATTTATACAATAACGTATATGCAAATACGTTTATGTATGCACACATATTTGTATGTGCGTTTGTGAGTTGAATGAAAGCGATATAGAGAAAGAAAGAATTCGATTGACATGAATATGTATGATTAGCAAACTATATTTTGAGAATGATAAAGATCACATAGATAGGCTGAGTGATTTTATCTGTACGTATGTAAATAGGTATATATTTTTTGTAGAAAATGACAAATTGTGGATATTATTTCGAATAAACTCATGAATATCAATGATGCTTAATCTAAAAAATATTGAAGCACATCATTTGTTGGATTGTATCGATATTAGATAAGTGCACCAATCCATCAAATCGGCTACCTGCCCCATCCATCTGTCCGCCCGTCTCCCCATGCGAATATTCATACATATATTCACACTCGTTTATTCTATCTATGGGCTCAAAGCAACAACATTTCTCCCTCTTCCAGCAGTCAGTGTTGGAGTTCAGGTGAAGACAATGATTCAGTTTTTGATTTGGCGGCAGGCTTCCTCTCTAAGGAATTTTGTAACGCACTCGTCGTCTGAACTGTGGTGATCATGGTTCTCCATGATTTCCTGTCCTTTGCAACTTTTGGGAAATGTATGAAACCAACTATTCTCCCCACAACTATGAGTTCTATAGCCTTGGATAGCAACCTGTCTAGGAGAAGGAAAACGCTGAATTAAAAGCTGTATGTAGTCCTGGCGAACCACATACCATGCAGCGAAGGAAAATATCGTTTGTATTGACTCGATGATCCAGACTACGGTCGATACCTTGACAGACTGGGTTCTATAGCCTTGGATAGCAACCTGTCTAGGAGAAGGAAAACTCTGAATTCAAAACTATGTAACTCTGGCGAGGCCCGTACTATATACATATCAGGAAATTATCCTTCGCATGGACTAGATGATGTTTTGTTGCTCTTAATAAATTTTAGTCTTCTTCTTATCTCTCCTAAACACTTTTCTGTTATCCATTTGCTCATTCTCACTAGGTAAGTCATGCATTTTTCTCTGTTCCTTTGGTCTTCAATCAGTCCTGTGAGTATCCAATTTTCCAAGCCCTCTTTCCTTATTATGTGCCTTAGAAATTTCAACTGTCTCTTTCTGGTGTTAAGTATAAGTTTTTAATTTCCATCTTCTCTAAAACTTCATCATTTGCTCACATGTTCAGTCCATGGTATTCTCAGCATCCTTTTGTAAAATCACATTTTTGTTGCTTCAATTATCTTCTTCATCTGTGAAGAGATTGTCCAGCATCCACTGCCATATAAGAGAAGTGATATTACGTAACGGCCCCGCACACTTTTCTTTCATTCTAACGATATTTATCTGTTTCTTAATACCCTGCTTAACTTTTGGAAGGCATTTTTACTATTAAATGCACCTTCGGATTTCATTGTAGCACTATCCGTCCTCTGTTAAAACAATTCCCATATACATAAATTATTGTCGTTGTTTGGTTTTGGTATACCCAGTTTGTAATTTACACGTTAGAATGTTCCTTTTACTGATTACTAAACTGTTTTTTTTTTAAATTGATAATGAATTAATGTCTAAAATGTATGCATATATTTCATTTTGAAGCAACACATTTTCAATACTAGAGAAAGGAATGAGAAGGATGTGTAGCAACAAGTGTCTGTACAGAATATATTGGCTTTCGAAGAAAGCAGGAAGAAAGGATTACCCGTGAATTCTAAGAAGACAAAATATATTAATGTCATTAATAAAACGGAAAACCCAAGATAAAAAAGTACAAATTGGAGATGTCAAAACCAAGCAAATACAGTAATATATCGGAAATATTATAACAGACCATGGGATATGTGCCAAAGAAACTTGTAGATGATATGGCGAAAAATACCTTTCAAAACCGAAACAAAGTATAAAAAGATAAAAATGTTTCACTAGAAAAAGAAAAGGAAACGAAAGGCTGCTGAACAACTATGTAACTTCAAACCTCTTAAACAGTATGTAACACATGTAACAGTCATCCCACATAATATGTAACATACGTAACGCATGCTACAGCAGTTCCCCTATATAATATATAACACATGTAGCATCAATCCACCTACAGAGTATGTAACATATGTAACATATATATCATCAATCCCCCTACATAGCATGTAACATGTTGCACCAATCTCCATACATAGCATGTAACACATAACATATGAAGCATCAATAGTTCTACATGGGATATAAAATATGTAACATATATAGCATGAATCCACCTACTTAGTATGTAACATATGTAGCATCAATCCTCAAACATAGTGACATATATATAATCAATACTACTGCATAATATGTAACGCATGTAACATATGTTGGATTAGTCCTTCTATATAATATATAACATAGGTAATATATGTAGCATCAATCCTCCTACATAGTAGTGAATGGTTAACACTTTTCTAAAAGATGAAGAGGAGAATTCAGATAACAGAGATGTGGTTCTAAAGAAGAATTCTGAGAATACCATAGATGAAACATGTGAGCAACAGGGAAGTTTTAAGGAAAGTCGAACCAAAAAGACACCTGCACTTAGAATCAGAAAAAAAAGAAAAATGAATGCGGGGTCATTTTCTGATGGTGTCAATTATTTTACTGGAACTTCTCAATCTAGTCAGCTTGTTGTTAATTTCACTGATTAACAAAAAATCAATTGAAATCAGGGATATCAACTCAAACACGTGTATTCCCTAAAATAAAGGTTAAACATGATAATATATAGATGTTAGTGCGTTAATATGGGTTTTTACATTAATAATGTTATATATATATATATATATATATATATATATATATATATATATATATATATATATATATATATATATATATATATACACACACACACACACACACACACACACACACTGTGTGTGTGTGTGTTTATTTTAATACAAAATTGTTATTGGTAGTACTTTTCTTAAAATTCTTCTTTTAAATAATAAAAAAAAAAAGCATTAGGTGGTCATTTTTTAGAATAATCGCCTGAGGATAACCGTAAGGTTGAAACCAAGGTAGCGGATGCAACTGTCCTCGTGATTTTTAAAGTTATAAAAATGTAAAGATAGAGTTTGAATAGGATGAAAATTTTGAATGATTCAAAGATGAAAGCAGCGGAGCAGCATTTCTATGCTCAAATATCATTGTTTGAGTTAATTTAAAACAAGAAATTGTTGTTTTTAATGTTGCTTTTGTTATTTGATCATCAGTTTCATATTAATTACTTCTTTCATATTATTAACATGGCAAAATACTGAAAAGTCAGTCGAGCTAAGACTCTTTCAGCACTTGCTCATATATATATATATATATATATATATATATATATGTATATGTATATGTATGTGTGTGTGTGTGTGTGTGTGTGTGTGTGTGTGTGTTTATATACAAGTTTGTTATTGGTAGTACTTTTTCTTAAAATTCTTCTTTTTAAATAATAAATAGCGGATTCAACTGTCCTCGTCATTTTTAAAGTCAAAAACTATACATGTTATTTTTACTTTTATTTTATTTATTCACATGTGTATTGTGCACTTTTTAATACTATTTTCCTGGTCTGATTCAACTCTGACCATTAAACTTTTATGTATTTTATATATATATATATATATATATATATATATATATATATATATATATATATATATAAAAATGCCAATGGAAAAACTAGTAATTGCTGACGCGTTTCGTCCAATGTGGACTTTATCAAAGCAAAATACGAAATGAATTTAATTGAACAAGTTCATTTTTATTCATAAATATTGTCTTCTCTAATGGTTAAATCGGAGAAATTTTCACATATATATATATATATATATATATATATATATACACACATATATATACATACATATATACACACACACACACACACACACACACACACACACACACACACACACACACACACACACACACCAAAAAATGGACTAAATCCGATAGTTATTTTGATTTATTCTTATACGTTATCTGTATAGACACGAATATTTAAGTAAATGCTCTTTTATAATAAACAGTATTAATAACATTTACCAGCCTGGACGTTCGAGAAATTTCATACAAAATATGCATTCTCCGATAGATATCGAACCTGTATCCTACACGGAACCGTTATATATCCTGACGTACGCTAAGAAGTAGCGTCTGGTTAGCAAGGTCATTGGAAGATTTGTCGTTTAAAAGCAGTAAAATTGACCTTGCTCACCAGACATTCCCCCGTAGCTAAACTGGTATAGCACGTCAGGCTATATGACGGTTCCGTTTAGGATACATGTTCGATTTCAATGAAATTTCTCGGACGTTAAGATCAGTAAATGCTGTTAATACTATTTATTATAAACAAAGTATTTACTTAAATATTTGTATCTATAATAATGACAGAGAACAATAAAAGTAATTAATATCTATCTATCTATATAGTCATCTACAGACAGATTGATTCGCTGTATCATAGCTCATCAGTGTGGCTAGACGTCCGGTTGCCTTTACTTAGGATCGAAACCCGGATGAATTAGCCTCATTCGGGTAATCTACCTCTAAGCCGCTGGCGCACGGCTGGGGTGGATGTGAATTTAAGCGTATTTATTTTTAGATAAATACGCCAGTGACTGAGAAAACTCGATTCGTTTTATCGATGTGTATTGCATTAGTAGCGGTATTAATCACTGTTTACAAACTCACACTTTCTCCGCCGAGAGCTCAACCGAAATAATTTTTCAGAAGCATAAACTGTTATTGATATGTACACAGATTACAAAATAAGGAATATTCAAGAATACTGAAACTTATTACACTAACATTCTTGTAAACGAAAACTTGAAGCAACAAAGATCTGGTTCTACAGAAGAACGCTGAGAATACCATGGACCAAACTTGTGAGCAACAAAGACGTTTTAAAGAAAATGGTAACAAAAAGACACTTGGACTTAGAATCAGATAGAGTTGAAATTTCTGGTAGGCATAATGATGAAAGAATGCATAGAAAATTTGACACTCACAGAAGTTGGGTAAGTATCAATTATATAGATTAAAACAGAATAAGATAATCATAGAAACAGATCAATTTGTTTAGATAAGCAGATAAGGATAGAGCGATAAATTGAAGATTCGATTTCACTCGACGACTCTTGTTTGAAGGCATGAACCTTTGCTTGACAGAAGAATCGAATGTGGAAAACGAAGTTTCATAAACTTGTTAACGTTTTAAGGTAATAGTACAACACACACATACACAAACAATAAACAAATGCATACATATATATGGATATTTATTCACAAATATTTCAAGTAGGTATTAAAAATAATACACCTAATATTTAAAGCTAAAATTTTCTGTATCTGTTCGAAATCATAAAAATTAATTAAAACTGAAATTAAAAATTAATTAAAACGCATAAAAGTGATTTTTAAAAAAATATATCTACCTGTAACTTTATCTTACCCAAA